CCCCCCCAACTTTGTTGGAAAGCTCTTGGAAGACTGCTTACCTTAATGTAGAAGTTTATGAAGAGAACAACCAGCGTGGCCATATAGGAGGACTGGAACATGAGGCAGCCAAATGGGAATCCACATGGCTTCACAGCTGCGCTGAGTGTGTGCACAATAGTGAGCAGAAACTGGACCTGTGGAGAAAAGACCATGCATGAATATTTGCTGAGAAAGGGCCAGTGCTGGCTACATCAGATATAACAATGTCAGCTAGTCCTGCTCTTTGAAAGTTTGAGTACTCTTGACAACTACCTGTTTCTGAACCTGTGAACATATTGTGAGGGTTAAGATAAAATGGTGCTCTTATGAAATTAAAAAAAAACCCCAACCAAACAGGTCAGAGATTTCTTAGAATCTTAGGTTTTTCTAAGAATATGAGTTATAGACCTAGTTGGCAAAATTAAAGTGCTTTTTTTTAATAGCAGTTGTTCTATATTCCAGACTGTGTCACGTACAGCATTGTCTCTGTTTTTGGGCAGAAACTTGAGAAAACTCTGAAGATTCCAGGCAATAGCTTTAGAAGTCTGAACAGAAAATGGAAATCCCAGGTCTGAGGAGAAGTTCAGGTAGGCTGGTGTCAGCATTAACAGAGTTAAGATAGGGATAAATGAGTCTGCCTCACCGTGGTCTTCTCCTCCCCTCTTCCTTCTGCTCTGACCCAGGTGTCTGCATGGCTGTTTCTGTCACATTTTCTCACTCCTCTCTCAGCATTTTTTTACCCTTTATTAAATATGGTATCACAGAGGTGCCCCCAGCTTTTCTGGTGGTCTCAGCTTTGGCCAGTGGTGGGTCTGTCTTGGAGTCAGCTGGAGCTGGCTCTGTCAGACAGTTTTTAATAACTTATTAATCAGTCTATTTGCCATGATTAAGCAGTGTTCATTTTCTACACAAGAGATCAAAAGTAATGGAATTTTATGATGGAAAAAGTTATACCAGGCTGCACTAGTGACTTATTCTGTATGATAGCTCTGTTATATTTGAATTCTAACTGGCTTGATTCTGCAAATGATAATGTTTATCTATAACTCATTTTACCCTCTCTGTCATTTTGAAGGATTTCTGGTAGGTGAAAACGAGAGTAAAATAGATACATACCAGTTGTGCCTGAGTGAGGTATTTCTTCCACCAGAGATACTTGCGCATGGAAGGGATGACGGACAGTCCGTAATAAGAATACATGAGCACATGGATAAAGCTATTCAAAGTGGGTCCAAAGAAACCTGTAAAAATCCATCAAGGAAAATATTTTATATAGGGTAGATTTAGATGAGATATGAAGAAATTCTTTCCTGTGAGGGTGGTCAGACACTGTCCCAGGTTGCCCAGAGAAGCTGTGGCTGCTCCTCCCTGGAAGTGTTGAAGACCAGGCTGGATGAGGCTTTGAGCAACCTGGTCTAGTGGAAGGTGTCCCTGCTGATGGCAGGGGATTTGGAACTGGATGATCTTTAAGGTCCCTTCCAACCCAAACCAGTCTATGGTTCTATATACCAACTGCTAAAAAGTGAGAGAAGATATTATTGTTAGCAATGTTCCCCGTATGCGATAAGTCTTCCTTTTGTGCTTATCCTTTGCTAAAGACACCTCTGATGTGAAGAGATGCTGTCCTAGGGACAACTGTCAAACTGAATGATACTTCCTATTGAGTTTTTCTCGTTAAATATTGTATCTTCACCCCATATTTTTCATTTTCTCCACTTTCCTTTTCTGTTCTGTACTTTACAGGTTCTTGCTTTTGTTTCCTTCCTAAATATTCTTCTTTGCATGAGTCTCTCCATTATTTCTGTGAGCTTTGAACACTGCTGTGGGTGACTGTGCTGCTGGTACCATGGCTTAGGGCCCTGGGAGACGCCCACTCTCCAGCTCCCTGGTGCAGTAGTAAGGGCTTTACTCTGAATTAAACTAGCCTGGTGGGGCTCTGTTTGAGCACCATGCTCATTTTTTCCATGACTCTTTGACTGGTGGCAGATTTGTAAAATTTCACTCTAGATAATGCCTTGCCACTCTAGTCAGCTATAGTTAGTAAATACTAATTCTAGAGTAAATGAATTGTCCTCTGTACCTCATAGAGTACGGAGGAGCAGCAGCATTACTCTATTTGCGGTATGCTCGTGTGTTTGATGGCAGTGCTTGACAGCTACAAAGTGGTCTCACCAATTGTTTTGATTTTTTCACTGGTTAATTACTTAATAATTACTGATCACTTAATTACTGATTTTTCCACTCAATATATTAATTATAATAGTGCAAAGTGCGAGAAATATGTTCAGACACAATAGAAAGCACAAACTCGTGCCAAGTTGTTTATGCCTCTGTAGAAATAGCTCGTAAGTGTTATGAAATCCTCGTTCTCTGCTTCTGCCTCTAACAGTGATTTACTTTGATTTTGTGCTGTCCAAAGTAAATGCCAAGAAATGTGAATTCTACTTTTTGTTCTGAAAAACACCTGCAACAAGTTGTTTTACAAAATATTTCAGTGGACTGAAGTGACTCCCTTTAACAGCTCAGAGTAAGAAAACTGATTTTCTTCTCAACTCTGCTACCAGTCCCACAGGAAGCCCTGGAAAAGCGTGTGTGTTGTGAGACACTTGAATCAGTTCTCTGCTGTTTGGACTTTGTGTACAAATGCCAAATGAGCCACCTGTGGCACCATACATCTTCCCCACCACAGCAAGGGAGATGATGACAGTTGAAGTATCCATCTAAAATCCACATTGGTTAGAGGTTACTGTTGCGAAACATGTTGAACCCAAAATATAAGGTGGCAAAGGATGCTGTTATTTCTGCTATTTCAATATGAAATGTAAGACTGTTGATCAGTTCTGGCTGTCTAGTAGTTCTACTACTTGAATGAGATGTATTCTCATTGAAAACAAAACAAACTGGTATTTTAATTAGCAGTTATGTAAAGTAACTTCCTAAAGCAGGGTGTCAGATTGATGCATGCAGGAGTCAAGCTTGAAAAACGCTATTGAATTGTTGTATCATGGTTGACACTGATTTTATTAGGGTCATGATTTCTTCCTACATCTGCTTTTGGAATAAAACTTGTATGTGATCACTCTTGTGTACTACTCAGTAGTGTTATCCTGTGTAAAAGCAGTTTGAAGAGAGGTAAGTATCAGAGGTTGTGGCAGCTAAGTGGAAAACACTTTTTTTTCCCTTGAATTTTTAACCATTATTTTAATTTTACTGTGCTCTGCAGTTCTGAAAGGCAATGAACCTTCAAGGTGCTGTCATATAGCATGGTGATGCACTTGCTTTGCACGGTGATGAGACTCCCCTCCAGCAACAGATGACTTACACCCCAGGTGATGAAGCAAACAGAGACTTACTTTGCCCACAGGGTATCCAGTTCAGAACACACCACCAAATGTTAAACATAGTGGCATGGTGATACACATGAAGGAAGGTGATCTGGCTGCTTTTCTTTCTCAGTACAAAGAAGATAGTGTCCATGAATTCAATTACTTTGGAAAAATAATACCACCACAGCACCTTGGCTATCTGTATGAGCAAGAACAGAAGAGCAAGAGATCAGTATCTGTCCACAAAAGGGCTTAAATATTGCTGTACTTCATCAGCCCCTAGGCATGCAACTTTCCAAAAGGCATTAATGTCCTATTGAAGGAGGAGCACAAGCTCTGGATTCAATTTTATCTCTTTTGAATGGAGCAGTTTTGAGAAAACCCATCATTTTTAATGTGATTGTATAAACATATAATTGCCTAAATATAACTTAAGCAATAGAGACTTAGAGGAAGGCTTGTCTGTAATTTTTCTGTTTTTTCATCAAAGATACAGTTGTGTGGGGTTTTTGTGGATGTTTTATTTATTTATTTATTTTTATCTTTTAAGGGTGCTACCATTTATATTGTCTTGACATTGAACAGATTTTGCTGGCAGCTGATTCTTTTTAAATAATCCAGATATGCCACTCAACACAATGGAATATACCCTCCTCTACAGTTGAGACACTTCATAAGAGCTCAGGATATGTCCTAGGACATTAAAGACAGTTAAAACAGAAAGGGGGAAAACACCTTGTTGATGGGAAAAGGTATTTAACTGACCTTTTCCTTGCCATAAGACATGACAAATTTTGAAGTTTGAGGAAAATTATATAAGTTAATCAATCTTTCTGCCCCTGAGCTCTAGTTTAATCTGGAAAGTTAGTCTGACGTGTGGAATGACAGAGGGTTAATACATGGAATCGCTCTGGTGCATAAATAAGGGTTGAAATTAGAGATGAGCCAAGGCAGCAAAATGTCTCTGAAGTTTTCCAGAGTTTGGAGTTGGGCTTAAAGCCATTTCCAGCTACAGCCCAACAAGTGTAATATCTTAGATGATTGATTATTGTTCCAAGTTTTTAAATCATCAAAAACCTGTGTTTTAATAGTCAGATAACACTGTTTTGATCACAGCTCTTGATATGCAGCTTTTCAAAATGCTCCTTGTCGTGCTTTTGACAGCAAGGATGCATCTGTATTGAATCAGAAAGGTAACACTTCTTGTTTGTGAGGTAACTTGATTAAAACCCTCATGTTACAGATGTCATCAGTAACATCCTTGTAATTGCTGTGAAGGCAGAAGCGTTGTAGTGAGGATGTGGAGGGAAGGAAGGAAGGATGGACTGCTGTGGAGGGAAGGGAGGGAGGGAGGGACTGCCATCGAGGGAAGGAA